TGTACTCCAGCAAGATGATGGCCATGGGTACATACCTGTAGAGTTTATGTCTTGCCGCTTACCTAACAAGAAGGTGGCCGCTTCAACGTATGAACGAGAGTTGTATGCTCTGCGTGAGGCTCTCAATCATTGGCGACACTACCTTCTAGAAAGGCATTTTAAAGTATACTCTGACCATGAAACACTTCGCTGCCTCAAAACGCAAACTCGAATGACACCTAAGTTGACAAGGTGGGCTGCAGAGATTGATATGTTTTACTTTGAGCTGAAGCCAGTAAAGGGTAAGTATAACGTTGTTGCTGATGCACTAAGTCGTAGATCAGACTTTTTCAGTGCTATTGTGATTTATCTAGATGTAGGTGCAGACCTACAAGAAAATATTAGAAATGCGTATCCCTCTGATCCTGTTTATGGAGCCATGATTAAGCTAGTGCAAGAAAAGCCAGTAGAGTTTCACGATCATAAAGTAACTCAGGGTCTATTGTTTGAACGAACTGATGTGCATGATAGGCTGTGTATACCCAATAATGAAGAGATCAAAAGTATGATCTTGGGGGAATGCCATGATACAGAAGGCCATTTCGGGTGGAAGAACACCTATGGGACCTTGTTACGTTCCTACACCTGGCCTCTAATCAAAGCGGACTGTATCGCGAATGTGCAGGGGTGCCAAGTGTGCCAACGAAACAAAAGCACCCCGCAATCGCCCCTCGGGCTACTTAAACCCTTGCCTATCCCTACCGGCCCTGGAGACTCTGTCTCTATAGATTTCATGGATACTAAGGTCAAAAACAGGAATGGGAAAATGCAAGTGATGGTCATACTGTATAGATTCACTAAGTATGCTGTTTTTGTAGCTTTGCCTGCTGAAGCAAAGACTGAATTGGTAATTCAGCAATTCTTTAACCATTGGGTAAAAGACTTTTGACATCCCTCGTGAGTGACAGAGATACCAGGTTCACGAGTGAACAATGGCAGCAACTGATGAATGTTTATGGCTCTAAGTTGACAATGTCCTCAGGTAGGCATCCTGAGACTAATGGTCAGACTGAGCAGATGAATAAGATATTACAACAAACTTCGCGCATGTACATTCGTCCCGATCAGATTGACTGGGATGAACATCTGCCTAAAGTTGCCAGTGCCTATAATAACTCTGTACATCTGTCTACATGTAAGACTCCTATGGAGTTACATCTGGGATGGCGTCCACGCCGACCCATTGATCGGTTGAACCCGGATCAAGTGCATAAGCTTCCTGTAGGGACTAGTGAATTTGCAGTCCAATATYAGAAAGACATTGAGAAAGTAAAAGAAAATATACTTAAAGCACAACATCAAATGATTGAACAGGCAAATAAACATAGGCGCCCATCTCAATTTGCTGTAGGAGATTTGGTTTGGGTGAAGTCTAGAGAGTTTGCTCCTGAAGAGAACATCTCTCAGTAGCTTCTACCCACCTACAGAGGACCTTGGCAGGTTCTAGACGTAATTGGAGATGTGGATGGTCCTTCGTATGTCATTGAGATTCCTCCTCATCTACGTACATATCCAGTGTTCCATGCATCCAAGCTTGTGTAACGAATGAGCTCTTCCCAAGTCACCGATCAGCGGTACCTCCAAGTATGGATGGGAAGTATGACGTGGATAAAATTGTTGCAGAAAGTACTTTCCACACTGGGCGTAGAGGCAGACCACAGCGATAGTATAAGGTGAGGTTTGCATACCAGGATCCTAGTGAAGATCGCTGGTTTACACGAGAAGAGCTGTTAGATTCCGCACCTCATATTGTGTCTGCATACGAGAGTGCAAAGAGAGGAATTCATATCCTTGATAGGTAAATGATTCTCAGAGGACTTTGAAACTAGGCCGGCGAGAGTAAAAGGGCCTTTACCCTATATAGGTCTCAGGCCTTGTACAAATAAAGCAGCACGGGCCTTGAAAAAGTAAAGCATTGTGAAAAGGTATCTCGCCAGGGCTCAGAAACGTGAAAGCAGGTC